CTTACATTGTGTAATGATCACTTTAGGGAGTTCTAATATAAAACATGGAAGGTAGACTTGTCTATGAAATCAACTCGTTGGAGGTATATAAAATAATTATCCATGAAAATGGATCCAACATTCGAGATTTACATCTTGAGTGCGGGTCCGTGCACGGTAAAAAAACAACCCAATAACCACGTGATAAACAAGCTAATTGTACAGGGTATCTTGCTCTCCGGTTCTCCTAACTCCTGGCTAATGATGACAACTCAGACCCATAATAAGGGTCATGAGGATCCTGGAATTGCAATGCATTAGACTTATTTCTCAACATTCATTCATTTTATTGTCCTTTCTGCCTACAGGCCAAAGATACCTATACCAGTAGTATATCCCATCCTATGCCTCCCATACAGCTCCCCTCAAATAGTACCGCCCTTCACAAGCCCTCATTCAATCATATACTCAGAGGAGCCTTTTGCCCTTCATTATCTCCCCTCTCCAGCCAACGAAACGATGGCCCTTTGCGGGTGTATGGTAGCCGAGAAAAATCGCAACCACAGGATAGGAGATTTCTATTACTTACATTAGGACTAAATCCGATGACATAGCGATCCTTCTGAAGCATCGAAGATGCCGGCCAGCTGTGCGCTGCGGACCTGTGGGTACCTCGGGAAATTCACACCCTGCCTTTCTAGCCTCCTTCCCGAAGGTCGTGTTGAAATGTCAGGAAAGTCTTGACAGAGCGTGATTGCTGCATAGTAGCTTAGCTCAACTTCATTTGTGCCCTCAAGAGCACTGGGGAGTGCCATTGACTCATCGACAAAAGAAGCCCTCCCGGCTAATTAGCCGAAATCTCGGTCTCGGCGCCCACAAACAATCCAAAGTTGAAAGTTCCTCGAAAATATCGGTCTCAGCATGGTCTTCGGAGGCCAGTTCCCCCTCAAGTTGTTTATTCCATTAGAGCAACAGTCCCCCATAAGCCAAGACCCAGGCTTTGTATTTTTCGACTTGATTTCCTCCTTGCGGGTATAATTAGCATCGTAAATATGTAATTGAGAGATGGCTGGAAATTAATGGGGAAAGCTCCTGTTTGCAATTTGAGCAACTTATTTATTGGTAGTTGAGACGAGATGATGCGTGGTTAGAGATGGGTTGAGGACTCAGATGATGATAAGAGAGGCATTGTCGAGAAGTCGTCAAATGGAGATGTGTTCGGGGTTTCTTTCGACTTCGATTCGGATGCGATTCTTCTTGGTTATCCTAGATATGCAGAGCATACTGAGCGATTACACCGGCACCACTGGAAGGTGAGAAATTCGTCTTTACCGGCTAGGCGAGGCGTAGCAACAGTCGCGTGTGGGCCACTGTCCTCGTATTGTCTCCCTTTGTTGTTGACGGCCTAATGCTGTGGCCAAGGCCAGCTCGAGCTACTTCCGCCCAAGTAATCTTTTGGGCCGAAGCCTGGGTTGTCGTAGGGATCGGTACCCTTATTTCTTGAGTCTTCTATCGAGGAGGGTTGCTGGGGTGGGCAGGGAGAACTGGTGGAATGCTCCCAGGGCCTGACTGTTTGAACTGGCCAATGGCCGCTCGAAGGTAGACTTTTATACCGTCTACAAACTCTTTTTCTTCGCCAGTCGAGAGAGGCGAAAGTGCTGCTTCAACACTGCTTATTACAGTGGAAAATATTGCTAAACGGGCCTTGATTTGCGTCGTGCGACGCTTTTCGGCCTCCATCAATGATTGCAACTCCGGAGGAAATTCCGGTGCTGATGTCGAAGCTGAGCCTTGGAAAGCTGGCACAACAAATTTTCTTGCAGACGTTTCTGCGTGTTATATCGTCTTCTCTCGGACGACTTCCTTTCCTTTCCTTCAGTTGCTTGTCTCAGGGGCAAGCTCGATAGGGGTGTGGGTCTTGGGACCAATTTTCACTGATCTGACAGGCTCAGAATCAGTCATCTCTTTGTCAGGAATGTTTGGAGACTTCCCTTCGACGAAGGCCTCACTCGTAAACATGCTTGAAAGTTTTTGCGAGAGCCCTCGGGCGGACTCTCGAGTTGTCCAACATTGCGTTTGGGAGGTTTTTTCGAACAGGTGGCATGATTAAATTGCCAACGACTCGATCACAGTTTATTGAGAGAATGCGACGAGCGCGAGAGGGAGGGAGAGTGAGTGAGTGTTTATTGTTCTAAAAAGTCTATAACTATGTAAGGACATGTAGGTCCTTTCTGCCTACAGGCTGGAAGTATCTATGCCTCGGGTAGTGAACTCCTTTGCCTCCCTCACGACTTCTTTCCAGCAGTAATACCCCCACAGGTCTTCATTCAAGTACACACTAAGAGGAGCCGTTATCCCGTCATTATCTCCCCCCTCCAGCCAATGAAACGATGGAAATTTTCGGGTGTGTATCTGCAGGGAAAAGTCTCAAAAACCACTGGGTGCGGAGCTCTCCTATGACGAAGAGGCCGACCAGCCGGGCGTAGCAGACCTGTGTATACCTAAGAGTGTCTCTCAACCTTCCTAGCCTCCTCTTTACTCCTCCCTTGATTCATGCCGCAGGACAAACCGAAGGTCGTGAAAAGATGTCAGAAAAGTCTTGGTCGAGAGTTACTGCCGTGAAGGAGCCTAGCCCAGCATCCAAAGTCGTTACGGACGTGGGGTCGTCGGGTAGCTCATGTATTACAGATGCCCTCCTGGCTAGTAGATTTGGAGGTATAGATTAGTAGGGACGATACTATTGACGAGTCGAAATCTGCTTTTCTTGAGGGCGGATGGGTCTTTTACTTTGCTTTCGTGGGCTTTTTGTTTGCCCGCCGATGGGTAGCACATGTTGTGATATAACGAGGGCTTCTCTGACTACCGTTGTAGCGTTTGGTACCGCATTATCTTTCCCCATTCCCAGCATCATTATCATCGTCTTGGTCGTCTTATGTGTTATCGGAAGCGTATCTTTGACGGAGGGAGACATAACTCAGCTCAAAGTTGATAAGGTGTTACTCAATCTCGGCTGTGCATATTCTACAGTGAGAGCTGGAGGTTCGTAGGGGACACCACTGACAGGTGTTGAGAATAGTCCCCCACACCATGGAGGTAGTCTATAATGAAGTTAGACAATGGACTCAAAAATATAAGTGACGGCCCCAATGCTACTTCGATCCAAAGGTATGGGGCTCCAGGCGTGGCAAATACGTCGAGGTTCCCATCCTTGCACCAAAGTGTACCTTGGGTGAAACTTCCAAACAGTCGAAAACATCCTCTTTTACTTGCCTCATCATCCAGCGCCTCGGAGTTTTATGTTCCTTGACGCCAAAATAACGGACCTTGATGAAATAACGCTTACCCCGCTGCGACACCGAGCTGCAGCCCGTTTGCTTATTGCTAGCAGCCGCATTGAACAATTTAAGGTACGACATGAAATTAACCTAGAGAGCTGGAGTTAAATTGAGACCCCTCTTTCCTTACGAATGGGCAAATGGAAAAGGCAAAGATCTCTAGAATACCAGAGTGGGCAAACGCCCTGATCATGTAGCCATAGTATTCACTAGTAGTGGCAAGACGAGTTTGACTCTGGTAGTCTTTTCCCTAAATAATGGAGCCTTATGCATACCCGAACCCGCAGATGGAGACTTTGTTAGCTCTAAACAAGAATGTACATCTCGCTTTTCTATGATGGTTCCTCCAAAGTACGAGCGGGACTAAGATTGAAGGTGAAGGGGTTCTGTTAGAGATTTAATCTGTCCGTAAGACGAAGAATTACATGGCCTGTCATTAAAGATATATGAGCGGATAGACGCAAGACAGGCGATAAGGCCAATATAAATTGGGGTAACATGTATTCGGAGGCATCCTCATGTTATGGGAATCGAGTGCGCGACATGTATATGCACATGTCATATCCCTGTCCACAATTACCAAACCCCGTACTGCCATAAACACCATCCCTCTCTTTTATCCATTGCAATGCCAAGTATCAGCTCAAGTTACTATTATACGGTATGTTTGTACTGACTAATGACAAGATAAACTTTTTGACTGGTTCCCTGTGTAATCTTCGAATCTACTTACAAATGAGTTGGTAAAGAAATTTGTAGACCCTGCAATGATTTTCATCATTGAAAGTTGATCTTTTATTATCCATCTTTCTAGAGTAGAATTGGAGAAGCGACTGAAACTCAGCCGAAACTTGGTGCCTGGCTCAAATCTCTAGTTGACTTTTAAGGGTTGTATTCCCGCCCGACTTGCATAGTGGTGGCATGCATATTTCCGCAAAGATTATGTCTGCGCTGCTTCATAGGTAGCCTTCTAATATTAGGTTACTGCCGTTCTCACGACTAGTGTTTGAAAAGAGGATCCTAGTCTCCGCTTACTCTTTGCTAGCACATTACCCCCAGTTTGCCCTGGTTGTGGACTCACCCTTTCTTTTATGAAGGGTCGGTGTAAAGTTGGAATCTTATAGATTTTTGCCAAGAACCTCCACCCTCGTGTTAAGTAGCCTTCTATAGAGGTCCATGAATGATCACTTGGCGCACTCACGCCTAGACGATTTTATAGATCATGTGCTTAACTGTTATCTGCTGGGTACCTAAGAAATGACGAGCCTGGCACTAACCGTAAGAGCCGAGAGCTAGGAAATTCTATTCATCCCTTCGCCACAATCTATTTTAGTAAACCTTACTGCTGGGATTCACCCAGCATTATGCGGCTTGTTCAAATATTGAAATCAGGCGGACTACTTCCGTTCAAATAAACTCGATGTTTGAAAACCCATACGAAATGTGGCCCAAAATAATGCCGCTACTTTATTCGGATAACCCTTTGACTTATTGACTCAAACCAAGATTCAAATATCATATATAATAGCTACTGGGACTGGTAGTGTAATCAGTAAATCCAGCGTTACGCTACTTTCATCAAGGAAGACAGAGAGTTGCGTATTAAACCCTCCAAGATTCCTAACCTTGCGCCAAATAATAAATCGAATAGCGCTGCCAATTTCCCAAACGCCAAAACTATAGCCTTCAAAATAGTGAGCTGAGTGATTCTCCATGATGTACACGACGAATTGCTTCTGCAAATAGTGGTCCAACTTCCAAGACCTCTAGTTTGGGACATAGCCGCTTGTGTTCTTCTTGCGGTACGCTATTCGTTACAATTACTTTGTCTAAAGCAGAGGCGTTGATACGAGAGATCGCATCACCGCTAAATACCCCATGAGTTAATAGAGCGTATACCTTGGTTGCTCCTTCTCTCTTCAGTAACTTTGCGGCCCTTGTTATGGTATTCGAAGTGTCCGCAAGGTCATCGACCAGTACGGCTATCTTATTGGCAACATCTCCTACTAGCATCATAGTGGCATTCTGTCGCTCTGTGATACGTGTAGGGCGACGTTCCTGAGGGATATGAGTTTGCGCAGGATGTAATTTGGGGGGCAATTACCTTGTGAATTAATGCAAATTCCATATTTAGATCGTCAGCGATAGATGTAGCCCTCTTCGCACCTCCCGCATCGGGACTGACAATGACAGCACCATGATATTCCGGGATTTTTTGTTGTACGTATTTTTTCAAAAGAGACTTCCCGTACAAATTATCAACGGGAGTATCAAAAAATCCCTGATATTGGGGATCATGTAGATCCATAGTAATAATATGGTCTGCACCAGCACATGTTAAGAGATCGGCAACTAATGTTCCTGCTTGCGCAACCCACTGCTTATACCCAGGCTTGGCTTGAAACATGTTTTGGGCTTCTTTGACCATAGTTGGGTTTTCATAGTCATGGGTCGTGATGTGAGGTACTTTTCCATTAGACGCCAGAGACTTGACGTGATCGCTAGCTTTGGAGGCATTTCCATTTGACCTATCAATAGGCGACATGGTTGAGTCAAATGTCTCAGTTCGCCTTGGAGGCGTGATTCCATTGGCATAGTAGTTGGTGCCGTTCTGTTGGTCTGAGGAAGCTTTTCCCAATTTACTGTGAAGGCCTTCCATTCCACATCCATTTACGAGACCTTGTGACTGTGGCTGACCAGGCCCAGGCGTTGGAGGGAGACTTTCAAAGGTAAAGTCACCCCGGTTGATATCAGTAGGTACTCGAGATAGTGGTGCTCCAATTTTATTGTATGGAAGATCAGGTTGTCGAGAGTAGGGAAATAGAGGCAAAACAACTGTGACTCGTCGAGCGGAACCTGTCTTGCAAGCTGATATCATTATGCATAGGTCAACGAAATGATCATTGACTTTCCCACTTCCAGATTGAATAATATAAACATCCTTTCCCCGAACAGAGTCTTGTATTTCCAAACGACTTTCCCCGACAGAAAATTTGGACAGGAGTCGTTGACAGGGTGGCACGCCTAGGCTTCGAGATATATCTTGAACAAGCTGTGGATGGGAATTGCCCCCAAGGATTACGATATTTCGAACCATTTTAGCTGAGCAGACTAATTGAATGAGGTATGGATGAAGGTGGATGTTGGCTGAGGCTAGTTCAATTACAGCTGTCTTGTTGGTTTCAAGAGTATTAATGCAATCAATTGAAACGAATTAAGGATCGGGTACAATAAGTATCGAAGAACGATGAGACGGCTCCAAGAATAGGAAAAGCCATCGAATATGAACGAAAGACAAAAATATTGAGGTGGTGATCGACCGTGGGCGCTTGGCGGGGTAGCCCCATAACGCAAGGCTGAAAAATAGCAAAATTGTTTCGAGCGACAATTTAAAATGGCTGATTTTAGGGCTCCGGTAAGTTAACCAATACATTTCGCCATGAAAATTTTAGAGGCACAATCAGCGGTTCTAACCAATTACGAGGTCTTCACTCACTTGAATGCCAACGAAAAAAGGCATCCAAGGTATGGAAGAGAAGGTGGAAGGCCTCGCAACCTTGTGACAGTTACCAAAGAGGTATGATATCCAGGCATTTCTACACGATTTGGACCAAAATATATCTGATACATGTAGTTGCTTGAATATTTTAGCGATGCACCATCACCACTTGCATCAGAACCATTTCCATATCAAGAGGAAACAATCCGAATCCTCCTTGAAAAGTTGCGATGTTGGGACTTCACTAAAGCCGAGATAATCATGATCATCAATCTGCGGCCCACTAAACCAGAAAATTTGAACACGGTCATAGAGGAAATGGATTCCAGATTTCCCGAAGAAGATACGCAGGCGGAGATTTGTGCAGCTATCATGGGGGTTCTCGGTCAACCAAATGGGGAGGCGGAAAACGCAGCTAAGAGGGGTACTGTATTGGATAACCAAGCAGGAGAAGCAGGGACAATGGCTGATTAAACAAACTTGGGTCGTTAGTGCAGTGAATCCCTCATCGAGAAAGTTGGCATTTGAGATGAGTATCTCATTCGAATACATTAGTATTGGGAAGGGTGTACAGGTTTGTGTGGGGACGACGGTAGTTCTGAGACATCCCAGGCCGAAATTAAGAAGCCCAGTGTGGTAGGAAGGCCAATCTGACCCTGCAAGCCGTCCGATCAACGTCTAGACTAATCAAGGCCTAGGCTTTCATATGTTTCCGCAAATTAGAACGAGCGCCAAGCCTCATTTTTATTGACATTGTTGCCTCAGGCATATATGCTTTAATGCCGAGCAGGCACACTCCCGACTCGATGTAGTGGAGACATGGGACTGAGCAATTTCTGCACAACGGAGAAAGGGAAGGCGCGTAGCAGAGGCCTGCGAAAAACATGCCGAGAGGACGTTGGCATAGATTCTGAACAGCGTCTCGGCATGGCAACATCCATTCTAGGATCCTAGGTTCAAGGAGCGATATCTATGATCGCGCAAGTTGGGGAGTAAGGATCTGTGATTAGGCAAGTTGGCCGTTTCACTTACGAATTGAACCCACGTTTTGGAAAAACGTGTTTGGATCCCGGACGCTTGTCGGCCGCACTCTTGCTTATCTAGGTTCTCCTAAACGTCGGCTGCAAGGGGTTGTTCTTCATCCACTACCGTTGTGGTTGCGCATTTAGGTGCAAATATTAGTGTGGGAGTGCTTATAAGCGAGAGGCGGATTACAGAGCAGCTAGACCATTTGTACCGTGGTGCCACGGTAAGTCGGTGGCCGATCACCATAAACGACAGCGGCAGGCCCTACTTATCAAACTCCTTTAGGTATAGATTAAAGAATTATTATTATAGTCCTTTCTTAGTCTTGACCATACAGGAAATGTCGGTCTTCTTAGCCTGCAGGTCAAGGATACCTCTGCATTTGATAGCGCATCTCCTCATGCATATCCCAAACAAGTCCCCTCACAAGCTCTCAATCTATCATTCATGCTGAAGAGTCCATTTCCCTTAAATATCTCATCTTCCTATCAATTAAACGATGGCTATTTGCGAGTGTTTAACAGCTTAGGAAAATCGTAAAAATCACACGGTGATGGGCTCTCCTAACACCTGCGTCACCACGAAATCCAATGAAATCCAATGAAATAGCATACCCTCTAAATCGTTCGAAGAAGCCCGTTATTTGGAAGCTGCAGACTTGTCTGAACCTTTTTTTAGGATAGGCGAAGTGCCAGCAACAAGGTATAATGCTTCATTACGTGTATCTGTTGCTTTATTGTGCTACTTGGGACTACGACTATCTAGCACAGTGATTTCCTCTCTGGCCCAGGCCACACCTTGTACAGTGCTCCTTGCCTCTCATGTTACTCTAAAGATCATTGATATACTACCATTGATGAATAGACATTCAGCTCAGTAATTACCCCTGGAATTTGGCCAACCTATCCACGGAACCTTCTACCAAAAAAATAAATGTAAAAGATGGTAGCAATGGAAACTGCGTGCGCGGGAAAAAGTATCAAAAAAACCTGCAGCACCAGCCAGGCGAGGCCTAGACACCGGGACCACATGAGGTGCGCATATTCATCTATATCTCCCTTCTTTGTAACAATCGAGGTCGACTTGATCCAATCCACCATCGCCGTATCGGGAACTGGGTACGCTCCGGAAACTCATCGGTTGGTTTTTCCCCCATGATCAAGAGTTGGTGATGGGAAGAGCTCTGACCCTAATATCTAATCTGATCGTGATTAGCTTCATGATGATGGTGATGCGGGAATGTGTTGAGAGATGAAGACGATACAGACGGCGAAAGCGCTTGGGAATCCTCTTCGAAGTGAGGACTTTGTTAGTCAATCTCGGCTCTGCAGACTCTACAATAGGAGCTGGGGGTTCGTAGAGGACACAACTGACAGGTGTTGAGAATAGTCCTCTACAGGGTGCAGGTGTCCAGTCTCGTAACAGCTTAGTAAAAGAAGGCTAGGGCTTTGTTATTCTGTGCTCAAAGTTTTCACTAAGAGATGATTGTGATCGGATAGAGCTCATAGATTCAGGGGGGTGTAGGCGAATAAGTGTCAACGTTAATCATGAAACCTTCTGGCTTTTGGTCGCCAAAGAAAAGGCAATTGAAGTCAGCGCTAAGTTTTCCATGAGATACATAAAAATCGTACGTAGCTACCAGAAGATAAAAATGCTGATGATGTCCCTTTGTGTGATGAAAAATATGAAGTAGAAGTGATATAATACATGATACCAAGTATGAAATGTAGCTAGCTCTCCGAAACAAACCTTTAATTTCAACACTACAGCACTTTTACTAACTTGTGACCTTTGCTCTTGTTTGCAAGGTACAAATACCGCCTGAAAGATACAACTCGTAAGTACACGCCAATCAACCTAGAACTATATGCTCAGCACTTCTTAAGTACTTTTAGTCCATCCATCCATGGCCATAAAGCTTTCGGTATCACTACATGACTCTTTTCTTCTACCCATCCATTTTCTAATAGTGCTGCTAATACCCGTGGAATTGCGAGTGCCGTCCCATTTATTGTAAATGGAAATGTAGGAACATCTTCACTACTTGGTTGCAGAGAGCGCAGGCGTGTTGCCAGGCGTCGAGTTTGATAATCAGTACAGGTGCTTGCACTAGTAACTTCGCCCCAGCCATCATCTCTGGCACGGCGGCTCGGAAAGAAAGCTTCTATATCACATTTTCGCGATGCTGAGGCACCTAGATCCGTTGATGGCATTTCTAGAATTCGGCAGGGTAGATTGAGTGCACTTAATATCTCTGTTTGGATCGATAAAATCTCGTCAAAGACGATTGTAGATGCCTCATCATCTGGTAGAGTCCAGGCAAACATTTCAACTTTTGTAAACTCGTGGACACGATAGAGACCCCTCGTATTACTACCACGGGCACCAGCTTCGGCGCGGTAGCAGCGGGAGGCACCGACAAATTTTAATGGGAGATCGGTTGCTTCGAGCGTTTGGTTAGCTTTCATACTTGCAAGAGGTATTTCGGCAGTCCCTGTAAGAGATAATTGTGGTTTACGACCTATATCGGCGCTTGGCTGTTGGACATTATAGACCTGTTGCTCGCCATTCTGATCCCGAGGTTGGAAGCCGCACGCTTGAGCTATATGGCTATAGACCATACTAGGAGGGCTTACAAGAGACCATCCATGCTTCCTGGCTACAGATAATGCGTATTGAATCAAGGCTTGCTCTAAAAGTACTGCTTCATTGAGTAGGTAGTACCATCCCCATCCACTAGTCACGGCTGCACCAGAAAAATCCATAAGATTGAGCTCTCGAGCAATCTCAACATGTGAGCGCCATACTTTGCAGGAGGGCGAATCCGAGTCAGGAAGTTCATTAAAGTAGCCTTTCACACAAGGAACAAAACCTCTTGGTGTTTTATCGCTAGTGATATTTGGGATTGCCGCAGCAAGTTGGTCTATTTCAGTCTGGAGCTCAGTCTGCCTTGTCTTGATTCCAGATAATTCATTCTTGAGAGAGCGAGCTTCCATTAGTAACGCATCCCTCGAACACTGCCCCGAATCTAACGAATCTACGGATACTGATTCTGATGGGGCAGCCTTTAGCGCAATCTTTCGATTTACTTGATTATTTCTTTCTCTCAGGGCTCGGGATCCAGTTATATTAGTCTGATACTCGTCGAATAAACTGCATATTTTTGCCGGATATTTAGACTGAGCAATGTAATTACGTTCCAGGCAGTTTTTTTCGTGAAGGATTGGATTCTGGCGGATGTGTTTGGTGTTGATTGAGAATTTTGGAGCTATTTGTGAATTGATATTCTGATCCTGGAGATATCTTGAAGCATGGTATAGGCGATTTGGAGTCGGCCCGAGAGAAGAATTTTGGATTTGAAAGATGCGGACTCTTTGTGAGATAGACATATCGAGCCAATACTTGAGAATTTGATATTGGAATGATCTTGAATTATTCATAAATTGTAATTAATTGCTAGTTTTTAGTACGAAAAACTCATCTTTGACAATATAGTTCTGGGGGATTTCTCCATTATCTTAATAAAAACATCTACCTCTAAACGCCATCCTTTGTTTTGCAGCTATCTTAATCTGCCGGCACGATATCAATAGGAGTTTTAGCGTAATGAGATTGTTCCTTGTATATCACGTGATATGTATCTGAGATCGTAAAGCACTTGACCGCGTTCAATCCTAATCGTTATTGTTAGAACTTCACCGTTCTACAATGTCAATCACTGATCTGAATAATTTTCTCCTGTAGATTCAAACGTATTCTAAGTTTTACAAGTGTTACAAGCTGGCCCACGAGGAAGTGGCTCAAGATACTCCACCAAATCGATCATTCACTAACAACAAGATCAATTTCAATCAAAGCCTCACAACTCCACAATTACTACGTAGTACATCCTCTTTTCTGTGAGCGTATCTCTTATCGACTCAGTATCTGGCCTCAGATGGTCTTTTAACACACGCCTAAGACACTCTAAATACCCGTAGGAGGACAAAAACAGTGCTACATAAGCCCGTTCAGCAAATTTACAGGAAGGATGTGAAAAATATCAGAAAAGGTGGAAAGATGCTGCAAGAAATTGATACAATCTCCAGATAGATGGAGCCCCAATTCTTGAGAGAGGATTTCATGATGAATAACTTCTTTCGCGCTACAGCTTCTATTGCTACAATGCAGACGATGTTAAAAAAATAGCGATGATCGGATACTTTACAGCATACTGCTTGTACTGGTCTCTCAAATATTATCTGGATAGCTTAGACTTTTATTTCGCTTAAGATAACGGATGGCTGGCTAAAGCTCGACCATATTTTTCGACGTGTTCGTGTCCATGTATGAAAAAGGCATGCCTGGATAACCAAAGATCTTGAATTTTCCCTTGGTGAGTACTCAGAAGAGTGCCGACTACTCAGTGCAAAAGAGCATACACTCAGTGTTATTTATGAATGGAGCTCAAAATATAGAAACTTAAGTCATAAGAGCCATTTAACCTATACACAAAAAGCTGATCCTATTTCATAGCAGGAAAATTGCACATAAAATGAACAATTCTAAAAAGTGCCCAGGAGTAACATACTAGCCGACAGCCAATAGTTACTGTTTCCAAAAAAAATGAAACAGAAAACCTTGACAAATAGATAATTGGAAGGAATTTTAATGGTTCTTTTTAGTTAAAACCTCATCTCACATTGATTTCAAGAATAAGCAAAAAATAAGAAGCATATCACCAACCCACCAAAACTCTAGGAAACGTTACCGAGAAAAGTTACAAGCTTCTCAAGTATCAAGTAGCCACTTGCTTCTATCTATTATACGGTGTCACAAATAGAGCACGAGTCGTGGTCCTTCTCTTGATTCCACACCAGCCACAAGACACCGACCAGATGGGGAAGAACTAGATAAGACAGTTGAAGTGGCTGGTTGGGTGAACATTCAGGATATTTCACCTGTAGAATTAGTAAAGATTGTACAATCCCAAATATAAAATCAGCAGTATTGTGCAGGGCAGGTGGTAGGCTATGTATATTGTAAAGACAGATCAAAGGATACTACAAGAGAGGAAGATATAGAACATTAGCTCCAAGTTCTATTTCAACTGTTGAGCACCGAACAGTAGAAGGGCCTACTATTTTTTGTCGGTTACCTCTGAGTGCAACTTCACGGGCGACAATCTAGCTGAGCTGAGCTACCCGGAAAGATGCCTTTGATTTCGACTGTGCACCAGCACGGCCTTGAAAATAAATAAAAGCGATACAAAAGAAGCCTTGCAATGGAATAAATTATTACTCTAAATATTCCATGTGTATGCGCCAGCATTTATCTCATCGCGTACATAACAGCTTCGTGGGCAGTGCGTCCTATTCCGCCACTTATTACACGATGTATTAAGGGGACGAAACTCAATATCTGCAAGTGATACTTCCTACGAACCTCCAGCTCTCACTGTTGAGTCTGCAGAGCCGAAATTGAGTTAAAAATTCCTCACTTCGATGAGGATTCCCACTCGCTTTCGCCGTCTGTGTTGTCTTCACCTCTAAGCACAACCCCGCATCACCATTATTATGAAGCTAACCACGATCAGATCAGATGGTAGGGTCGGAGCTCTACTCATCATCAACCCTTGATCATGGAGGAGAAGCCAACCGATGAGTTTCCGGAGCGTACCCAGGACCCGATACGGCGATGGTGGATTGGATCAACATGACCTCAAATGTTGTAAAAGAGAGAAATATAGATGAAAATGCGCACCTCATGTGGTCCCGGTGTCTAGGCCTCGCCTAGATAGTGCTGCAGGTTGTTGTGGTTATGAGCTTACGGCAGCAAATGAGCTGGAGCTTCTCTTTAGCATTATACGCAGAAAATCATAACCTTTTGGTTTGATTGTGTATTCAGCTCTGCACAGATCTAATGAGGAGATGAATTTTCACATATACAAGATTGAGGTGTCCGTGCACTGAATTTTATTAAACAAAGCTGGCCCTCTAATAAAATTTAGTCCCCATAGATCATACATTACAACACAGGTATCTCGAAAATTTTCCCGGCGCGCGTGAGGTTCCTAGCCGATCAGAATGTGTGGAACGTGAGATAAGTTAAGATTTGTGATGGTGTGGGTCACAGGTGCCTTGTGGCTCAAAACTACTCGTGTGTAGTAGAGCTTGCGAAGAGATATAGCCTGACCTTTCTATGAATTCTAGGTATCGTCTATTTAAATACAGTGTTTCTTTTCTTACGCCCGAACTCCGTAATGAACACCATCACACGAGCATGAAAATTTATCTGTGCCTCGTACTAATCTAGAGATCTGTGAATCTATGAAAATCACAAGTTTTTGGCATTGCCACCTTTTTATTTTCTTTTCTTTGGGTAGAATATTCTGGTGAGAAAGTAGCAGAATTTTGTGGTTGAATTTTGAATTGAACGGCTATTTAGAAGGGCAATATATCAGAAATCTTGGAAGTAACAAAATACAAAACTACCTTTTACAAGTTATGGCCCGGGTTAGAGAGAAGCCCTACATTCTAGATACCCCAAGACTCTAGCAGTGAAATTAACACCACAATAGATAAAGGTGTGAATTAATCACTCAGTCATCATACGCGACCAAGAAAAACTCGAAACTTGACGCTTCAGTTGGTATGAATAATTACTAATATCGGCAAAGACGAATTTTCCTCCTTCTAGCGGTGCCGATATAAACGCTCAGTACGCCCTACAAATCTGCGACAGTCAAAGAATCACATTCCGAATCAAGTTATAGTCTAACTTTACCTCGAAAATTACCGATTAAAGGCTTTTCGCCACCTGGGCCTGCCATCAACGGGACCTGACTCTAATCTTACCAAGCCTCTGCGAACCTTATCTTTCCGATCAATCTGTGCTATCCGATATTAAATATCGAAGAGTCACCGCGATTCATTTGTATCTTTTCTTCGGACTCCGGCTCACGATGATGTAAGTGCTCTGAAAGGAGGGTTTAAGGTGTGAAGCATGGAGCAAGAGTCCATGTTTGGTCGAAATGATTTCGTGGAGGACAAATTCAAAGCAGCGAAGAGAAAGGCACAACAGAAGGTGAACGGAAAGGACATAATCTTGGATGTGGAAAAGGCGAACTTAGTGTAATATTTTTAATGCTGCGGGTTGATATTGAGCCAAGGCCTCGCTCAGCTGGATAGTGCAGCTGACACTTTAAAAACAAACCAATAATGAAAGCTGCCGTGGTTCGCCTCCTGGTGGCGATCTCCGGTATAGTTTTAATAGGCTGGGCAACTACTCCACTTGGAAAAGTAAAGCCTGACATCACATTTGGAGCGGAGATTGGTCTGTGAATGATGAAGGCATGTCTGGATAACTCAGGGGTTTTGAGACGTTTCTATAGACGGGTATTCACGGATGAGGGTAAACTTGGGGTGAAGAAGCCGCCATAACTTGGCAGTGGTACTTGCAAATGAAATTCGAGGCATGAGTGCTCTTCTATTAAATTCAGCCATCTGTTCTGTACCTGTTAGGCACTGAGGGTCAAATGAAAAATGTAAAGTAAAGTTGTATTGATGAAATCTCTGCTCCTCAACTCCTCTCCAGCAGTGATGCTATATACCCATCTGAAACTATTTCGAGGAGAGATTATCTTCTCCTCGTTTCCCAAAATTACATATGAAATGTATTACATGTGTTGAAGATCAAAAGATCTCATATTAGAGCTTTGACTATCCTGAACATCCTAATCATCCTGAACATCCTAGTCATCCTGATCACCATATCCCTGGTGAGATATCAAAGCTCGAGTTAGTTAATCTGACAAGATGTGTCATCCCACTATCCAATGATTCTCATTACCATATTCAGTAGGTTCCAAACCATCAGATGTTTGACAGTACCTTTTATTTGGTATTGTGTCATAGCTACATAGTTGTAAACACAACTAAAATTTGATTCAAAAAACTTATTACCAACTCTCTGATTAACCCTGTCTCATCTAAACTCTACCTTGATATGCTACGAAATCCTTAGGAATATTGGCTACTATAGAGTCCCTGAGGTAAATCCTTGTTAACCTCAAGAAGCGGACCGATGCATTCAAAAAAGTTAGACTTTCGCTACAATAAGACATCAAATAACGTAATTATACAAATATTCTTTGTCCATAACTTGGACAAATAAAGTGGTGAAATTTAATTCTATACGAAATATGCCTCTGACTTAAATAGAAACAGGCAATATGTAAACAAATATCCGAAAACATAATCTGATCATTAGGGTTCTGCATATTGCTACTAACCCTGAGCAAGACTGACATAGTTAGCCGAATTTGAATGGATTGTTCCCAAAATGAAATGGGCCAATAATTCAAGCAACTTCATTTTTTCGAATATGCCAAGCTCCATCATACCAAGCCCAACTCATCCAGCTTCATTCATATAAATCTACTAAATTTTTTTCACACATGCGTCACCGTCCGTTAATCTCGGCTTAGCTCGCCTACGGGAATGATAGTAGGAAGCAGCTCCAGGTCGAAATTCATGATATCCTTAGTCGCACGACTTTCTTGGGTATTGACACACTGGCTGCAGAGTAAAGCCAACTTCGTTGGAGGCTTGTCTATATTGCTTGACATTGAATAAATGAGAGATTTGAACTTTCTAGGCAAACTGAAATAACCGAATAGAATTGAGCAGATGAATCTCCCGTTGTTCTTCTCTTCTCCGACTTTCGTCTGCAAAACCCATTTATTATCCTCGTGTTTGCGTAAAAATGCGTGTAGATGACCTTGATACCAAGCAATGGCGAAAAGTCCAATGTGATTGGACAATCCTCCGAAGAATTGATTATCTGAGAATACACTTGTCATTTGCACTGGCTTATCAATATCTATAAACGGTAATCTTGAAAGATTTGGTGGAGCATCAAAGTCATATTTCCCCGTAACGGTTATTTTTCTCTGATGAACCAAACTGACTATCGCTAGATCAGAGCAGGCTGACGTTCTTCTGAGTTCGGATAATTTTATGACTGGCGCTTTTATCAAGTCACGGTTGTAGGTTAATTCGTGAACTTTATAGCGCTCAGCTTGTAACCTAGTTATTTGATCTAAACAACGCTTATCGGAGCCATCGGTAGGGCCAAAGTCAACATGAGACTCATTCGATAAATAATCTACGCCAGTGATAATTTTTTGCGCAATCTCCAATACTGGGAGTGTGTATGAGCAGTACGCCCTCATATAGGTGCCTGGACCATTAATTTGCCACTTAGTCTTAATAATCTCATTCTCCCAGTCGATTTCTGGAAACTGGCCGCTGATCTGGGGCTTGTGGATACTGTAGTGGGAATATGGATGGTCGCTGCCAAAGACAACTAAGCGCTCCTGTTGCCGCATAGACTCCTCCGGGAACAACAGAAGGGCGTAAGCGCAGTACATTATATGTCGATAGGTTGGGTATCGCTATGAGATTTCATTAGGAATGGGTGAGTCTTCGACGGAATAATTTTATTTTAAGAGTTTTCCATTACAAGGGAAATCTAGAAGCTAGCCTTCTAAATCTAAGAAACTTTGTGGGAAGGATTTGCGGAATCCTGTGCATAGAATTTACGGCATGAAGGAATAATTCCTACAGGCCTCTTGCGGTGGAGGCTTTGAATGATTGAGTTTAAATACCATACCTCTTGTGTAGATGTCGATCTGAGGGTTCAAAAGTAAGTTTCTAAATGATTCGGTTTCGGCGTCTGCAACTATAACAATCAGATTGCTTTCGGATAAGCTTGCTCCTCGTCATCCGCTTTTCAAATATGACCGTGCGAGCGAAAAGCCTATGAAATCCAACAGAACAATCAACTATTGAGTTAGCAGCATTGAAATTTACGCGAGCATCTTATCTCTACCCTGTTTTACGTGATTTAATTGACTAGTCGACCTCCTCGACCACACGAGCTACTCGGTAATATCACGCCCGTGACGGCTGCTTAATACTGTGTGGGCTACACTCCCTGACCCACTTTGACCCAATGTTTTTACACAATCCGTCATGACCTTCGATTTGGCCTGCGACACGAATCCGAGTAGGATCAAGGAAGAGGCTAGGATGTTTCTGACACGTCAGTTAGCATGTTCAGCGCAAGGAAACGTCTCTGGAAGACCGTATGACCGGGCAAGAGTTGAGATAAAAAAGTAGCCCGAATAAGTAGATAGTCTCCGATAGGTATTGAAGATACAAGAATGTCATATGCTCCATGTCATCAGCGGTAAAACGACTAGTTGTACTACAGGTAAAATGGACCCGGAGCTTCTTCAGATCTCATATAAAAATATAACGTTGTGTAGGACAAACCCTGAACTCAAAGCGTGTGGTAACCAACCCATCAATTGACCCACCAACACATATGCTATACGTCAAGATTAGTATTGAGCATGGGAAAATAACGATCTAGATGTATTCCCTGACATGTAGGTATGAAATGCCCAGCTATCCAAGCTACACAAACGTTTTAATGGGGCAACTATGTTCTTGGTCTAAGTCTAAATTTCGATGGTCGTCTGGTCCCATGTCCAGTGCATTTGGAGAATTTCCTCTGCAGCTATAAACCCTCAAATAGCCGGAGGACGAGGGCTGAACACCTGACAGTACTGTCCTACACGAATCTGGGAGCGAAGTATTCTCCCGGAGCCAAGATTCAGTCATGACAAAGGGTAAATTTGAGAGTTGTGTCGAGTTGGCGATCGGGAGGAGTGATGTTGGCAACTTTTTGGTTGAAAATCCGAGTTGAAGAAATTTCACTACCGCAGAATCCAAGGAATACGATGATCTACACCCCAGATATGAACTACGGATAGGAAAAGTCTGTCTGATTTTCGAAATAAAACAATTGAAAACTTTCACTTTCTCAATTTCGTGAAAGATCTTTTCCATCTAAACTCATCTCGCGACCCTTTCCACAATCACCTCACCACCTACCGAAGCACTCTAAGATCCAAAAGTCATACTTGCAATCAATGATACACGTGGACATCCATCCCGTCGCAAATATTTTTCGCTGTTAAGCCACAATTCAAATACCGGCCTTTAATTCGTCTATAACTCGGCCAAGGGCACCAACAACTCGACCTCCAACGAAGCGTCACCGACGACATACGTACCACATACATACGACATTTCGCTGGCATATTAAAAAGATAAGTTGACCAAGCTCGAGGCATTGATGTCTTCACGACAAGTGGCACGGCAGCAATGGGATAAGGCCGGAGGGATGGACTGTCTACAAAAATTCTGAGTCGAAAATGTTTTTTTAAGGGTCAATGAAATCTACAATAGAGGAAAAAAAGCTAAGGAGGCCTCGCTGGACGATAGGATGAGGTCTCTGATGAAGCGGATTCCACAGGAAAAGATGAGGATATACAAGGATGAGACATAATTGGAACTGAAGGTAAAGGGAAAATCAAAGATTTGAAATTAGTCAAGAAATCAGGTGCGTGGTGGCCGAGTCTGAAGAAGCTATTGCACCTCGGCGTACAAAAGTTGAGTTCCCTATACGGTTAGACTTGACATTTTCAACACATGAGCAAAGTCTTAGGTGGTTCCATCATTGAATTAGGTCGGGATTTATTGTACTATTATGGAAGTTAACCTGATCCAGCCCGGCCCTACTCATGCTCATGTCCCCATAGGACTGCAGGGTGTGACGGCTTGTGAGCCGATAAGTCCTGTAGCCTTCGATGGCTATCGAAGGCAACCTATGTTGTCTATTACTCCGAGGATCATCAGCAGACGAAAACTGATACGAGATCGCCACAGAGGCTACGTAAAGGATAATGCCAAGAGTATTGGAAGCGTTACCCGTGTGGCAGAACAGACCTTAAGTCAGTTCCATTGCCACTGTAACTGTAGGCTAGATTTAGATAGCTCTGGATGTGTATAAGTGACAGAGGAGACTTGCAGGTAGTTGACTTCTCCATAGATAAATTATAGCTTTACCCTTCAATTATACAAGTGCCCATTCGCTTTCTATATTCGAAATGTGACACAGGGGGTGCCATTTGTCTTGCACGTTAATACCAATACTGACAAATAACCGCACATAGGAAGATCGCCCGCAACCCAAGAAAAAACAACTTGAGTCCCTCTCTGTGCTCTACAAGGAACCCGAAAAGTACGCAGACGGGCTTGATAGCTTTGATTACAAGCTCAAAGTATTTCGTAACAACTGCAACGATGCCTGTGTAGAGGACCGATATGTGAAAAACGTATTTTCTCGTATATTCACGGCAAGCACCAGGAATATTTACCTCGACAAGACACTCGACCATGATGAATTGACATTTGGAAAACGTTGCAGAACCATGAAAACAGATACGAGGTAGATCCATTGCCGAAAAGACGAGAGATAACCTGACTAAACCTCATTCTGTCAACAAGAATCAAGAACATCCAGAAAATGAAGTCAGAGCTGACCACAAACAGCTCCAGATAGAGTTCCGCAGAGTACAGAGCGGACTAGCAGATCATTAGGACGATAGAGCATTACGTAACCACCTCGTGCTATCCCGCTCTGGCATATCAGAACTTGGTTTTGCGCTCCACCATCCTACCGAGACCTTTGAGGGCGTCTTAAAAGGCAGGTACGGCTCGCTTGACTAAACTTCTTTGACTAGCTCAATATCACAATAGCACCGAGGCGAAATTCATTCCGGTCACAAGGGTCCAGATTAAATCCATATGGCTGACCGCCATTATGATACGACAGCTCATCTCAGTAGACGTGGAGGGAACAATAGGGTGTAACAGCTGCTAAGCCTAAGGATTCCTGTCGCCTATGCTGGCTAGCGCAGGCAATGACACCAAGGGAATATTCGGGAAGGATCTCGAAATACACGGAGCTTAGAAGATTCTCAATGAACCTTCTGGAAGCACACTGGAAGGTTCATGAGGATGACATATGTATCGAGAATCTTCTAGGGAATCGTCAGAGAGTCCATATCATTCTGGTCATGGGAGGAACCTTAAGGAAGGAGAGTATCTCAAAGTGTATATATATTTGTAGTCTAGCTTTAGAAATCCTCCCTTCAGAGAATAATAATTGACATACCGTACCTACAAGATTTCCCATGCGTTTTATACAGAAACCGTGATAAAGGAGAAGAGAGAACAAGACTACGATCCCATCAAGCAAAGAAATTCCAATAGACCAGGAACTACGATTTGTGATTATGGAAATAAGTACGCAACCTGACAATAGCATTTAAAGCTCTCTTACCGACTTTGGCTCCTACATGAAGACCGAAGAAGGCCACGATTTTCCTGACGAAGAGCTCACAAAATTTCTGACCTTCGCAGAAATAATCTGTCGTGAGTATCGTGATCATGATTTGTAAATGTCTAATGACAACAGATACAAGGTCTATGACATGTACCTTGATATGAGCGGCCAACTACCACGCATGACCAGGTTGAGGTTGAGTCATCTATGCTTGGGTGAAGCAAGCGGGTCAGGAAGTCGCTGCCAAGGAGCATCATTAACACTTAGCATTGTGTCATGGTTGTGAACCTAGGGTCTAGTGATACGTAGGCAATGGGAGACATAATTGAGTTAATGAGTCTCAGTTTACGATCGAGAAGCACTGACGTAATCATGTGAAGCGAAAGCTATTACGAAAAACGTATATACGATGGAGCCATATCTCCATGTGTAGACAAAAGAAATTAAGCAATCTATCGAATATTATCAAGATCAGTCCTCTGAATATTATAGTATCCTCAATCAAACGACAACACTCCAATACTCATCTATTTATAGAGTCGCAGTGTGCTAACACATACTGTATATTGATAACTGACATATATACAGCAGGATTCCATCAGTTATCTGTCTTCAATTTATTCCAAAAATCAGTTTTGAGCGAGGTTGAATCTAAAACGTCGAGTAGACAAACAGACAGACGAGATTTTCAAGATTACATTTCATGCTAATTACAGGTCATACGTTTATTGGTGGATTATTCTACATCTTGGCACTCAGCAGTTTACTCCCATAATGATCCACGATATGGATTTATCAATAGATCACTTACGTAATTTAGTCTTACTTTGGGAGTTTGTTGCCGAGTTTAGCGCCACAGGTTCAAGATCAGTCGCCTTCAACTTTTTAGACTATTTCTCCTGTAATCTACGAGCATGGTTAGTATCTGAGCTTTAAAACTTGGATAGTTTTTTGAGCTGTTCAAACGCATCACTTTACCATACTTTTTGATGTGTGAGTAACACAATTGACAAATACATGTATCAAATCGAATTTACACTTTCAGTTTTTAGACAGCCCTATCAAACGCCGCAATTATAGGTCCGCACAACTTGTGAGGGTCCTCTGAGTTTTTAGTTTAGATATTTGCGAAAAAAATGGTATATACCAGAATTTCTCTGCAAGATCCTTGATATCGTTAAATCTAGGCGCGAACTTGAAAATTACACCTTGGATGGGCTTTCTCTCATATCGTTTTCTTTGCTGTCATAAATTTGTTGGGCGCTCCCTACGTACAATCTGGATAGGAAATCTTTGTGCGGTTTATCGTCATCGTTCCATCCACAGTTTATACACACCCGAAGTAAGACATACAAAAATGACTCGAGATCGTGCCGATACATATAAGTGATAGCTGCGTCCGTATCTGCAAAGCTCTTGCTCAGAATTTCCGGTGCGATGAATTGCATAGTGCCAGTCATCAATCGAGCCTTTTCCTGACCTTTGCCTTCTTTCAACGAGGTGGCCAAGTCTAGATCAATCAATACACCATCGATTTTGTCAGTCTTTTTGGTGCCGGTCAGCAGTCTATTATTCACCGAAATGTCACGATGTAATATCTTAGTGTCCATGAATAATGACCGGTGCGCCTTGATGGCATCATTTATTCCAATAAAAAGTTCTAGTACCGATCTGACCTTATCGATCGGGCGTCCGTACGGCGAAATTCTGGCAGCAGTGAACTGATGGTCACGTGGAATTATGACTTTAGTTTTTACCATTTTGATGGACTTAGTGACAGCCCTCAAGCTAATTGGTCTAACATTGTCGCTTGCACTCGGTGGACTTGGAGCCATGTCGGAAAGTCTGCTTGTTGCTGCAGCGTTATCAGTCGCAATTAGCCCAGCATTGGTCGACAGCTTAATTCTCTTCATTCTAATGTTTACCTCGGCATTATTGACGGTTTTTCTTTTCTCGCCAGAAGATTGATTAGCTTGTCGGCCGGAGCCTCCCGCAATAATTGTCCTGCTATCGGTTGGGTTTATATGCAACTGTCCTTCATTAATTCGAGCGGACGTAATGAGGGAGTCCAGCTCAGTAACTCGTGTAGCTAAATTTTGCTATCTTAATTTTAGTTGAGAAAATGATATCAAGATGCTGATTTTACTTTTTTTATTAAGCTAGCCGTCTCATTTTCAGCTTGAAGTACCTCATTCTTTCGCTTTCGGCTCAGTTGGTTGTTCAAGCTTTCCTTCGGAATCTTCCTGGTCTCTCCACTAAAGTCATATGGTGTGGTCATGACCTTCTCTATCGGACGCATGTCTTTCACCATGGTCTTGGTGAACAACAGGCCTTCGCGAAGCTGGCTGATTTTTACCAGATCTAGTGATCCGAGAATCTTTGCCATGCCTTGAGATGGACAACCATCCCCTTGTCATTGTATTTCATATTGGGATCGAGACCAATTTCTTCGTCGCTCATCATTATGCAAGTAACCAAGAAATGCACGAGCTTCTCTGGTGACTCGCCAATATCAATGTACGAACAGGAATAAGGCCCAGAGCGATCATACACCCACACCTGTAGGTCTCTTCCAAATAGGATGAATCCATGAACGAATCGACGATGGTGCTAAGCTATGAAAACTTCACGCATGTAAACACTGAGCTGATGAAACTTTTGTCGGAAGACTTTCGAAGAAGAGATAGTCAGCTCACCACCCACAATGGTATCGCTCTGAAGGTATTCATTCTCAGTGGGAAGATCGAGTCTTTTGATAAAGTAATCCACTTGTCGCTTTGCTTGGTTTCCAATGATCTATCCGGCTGCGAGCGTATGAAATTGAGCTCCTGTAAAAACGTATCCATGACTTTCTGTCGAGTATGTCGCCGCTGAATCGGTTGGATCGTGAGATGCTTGGAATAGGTACTTTTCGGTGACCTTCATCCATTTTCAAACCGCATCCTCAGTTGAAACGGCGGGAAATTTGAACTTTAGTTCCGCAGATAATTCTGCGTATTTCTGGGTAAGGCCATCATACTCGACTTTCATCCTCGTTGATTCAAAGTACTTATCCCAAAAGCCTATCACATTCATAAATACCGAGCCTTCCAGCTCTCCGCACATCGCTTCCTTCAGGCTCTCCATATTCATTTGTGTACCATCATGTGTTTCCGCGACTCGCCTACATATAGATTTGGTAGCTAGATCGTCGAGTTGTTCGTCTGTAGCTGACATGATAGTCTCAAGGTTATAGACAAGCTACATCAGTGATTCCGTACCCCTAGATCAGTCGAATGGTTCAAAATCAAACTGGCTACTGATTCAAATGGGGCCAAGTTAAATGATGTAGCTTCCGTTCAGCTAGCTACAGTGTCCAACCGTGAGTGAAGCTTTTTCTCTGTAGAAGGTAAATAGAGACTTTCTTTCACATTGAAAATGAACTGAATACTAATGCTTTAAGGAGATCTCGGCATTCATTTAAATTTTTAGGATTGCCGAATACTCTTTCGCATGGGGTGGTAAAATACAAATTATTTACGCCCCATAATGTTTTCATAATCATTTCAAGACGTTTCTTTACAAGATGCGCTTTGATATCGATGTCGATAGAAATGATTCGATTGCTGTATTTGGAGAAACTTGTGTGAATTTTTGAAGCTAAAATGATGGTTAGGTGCTGTGATGGGCTGATGATAGGTGTGTTGAGGTTGGTTTGTGGAGGGAATGAATACATTTATTTGTACAAATTTGCTTTCCTCTCAACGTATTTTCATGATTTGCTCACCCACATCTCATTACAATAAACATGCAGTTTTAGCCTTCCCCATTCAAAATATAATACAATTTTATTTTTATTATCTCTGCTATGGATCGAATTTGCTTGGATACTTTTTAGATTAGATGATTGGTAGGAGAATCTTTGCAAAGATTGTTACCACTGCGTCAAGTGAAAAAAGGCAGATTGATATCTGATGTGTGGCCGCTTTAGCGACGAATCATGAGGATATATTTTTTGTCAATAAACCACATTCACCATTACGTGAGCTAGCGTTCGACCGGAATTAATTTTGTAGTATTCTATTTTCCAGGGATTAGCCTCATTCTGTAAAAGTCGTTTGACACCTTGGCATCTGTTCTCAAAACCCCAAGCCTCTCTCTCTAACTGATGTAGATAGTTCGACACACTCTTTTCTTTCAAGAGCTCTGTTCAGCTCGAAAGTTGGTCAAAATTTTAATAGATGGCACATGAGCACTTCTCATTGCATTATTAACTTTCAAGTCAGTACTCACTGCGCGGTAAAGAAAACAATGATGTTTATGGGCAAATTATGAAATGTCTGATTTTCAAGAAAAGGCACCGCCTTACCCTTCTCGAGGATTGTCTATCCGAATATTGACTGAACCTGGTGACAAGGGTTCAGGGCTTTATCTATCTCACATGGAAGAAGTATCAATTTCCAGCAAGATTCGAGGATCCTGATGGGCAAGATTTCCGAAATCGCATAAAATTTCGCAGGCTCATTAGTTCACGACTTACTTCGCCCCGTCCGTGGATTCGAATCATAACAAGTTTCAGACTCTATTCATTAGTATTCTAGGCGCGCGAGAGAGAGACAGAGCTTGACATGCATGAGGATCCAAGATTGACAGACCTCTAAATTAGTACGAGGCTCTGATAAATTGTAATGCTCGTGTAATGTTGTTCATGTAGGAGTCCGGGCGCAGGATTAGGAATACTGTACTTATATAGACGATACCCTGTATTAATAGAAAACCAAGTTACATCTAGTCTTAAGGTCTACTATACATATTGGTAGATTGGAGCCGCGAGACACCCGTAACCTACGCCATCTTAAGGCTAAGCTTATCTCACTTTTCACACATACTAGTCCATCAGGAACCTCATGCACATGCATGGAGGGAAAATTAATCACTGATGACCACTCGTCTGCAAGTTTCTTTTTACAGTTTTGTATAGCTCCCAAGCTCACGCACGAAGTTCACTTTTCGTCAGGGCCGATTAGATGAGATTTTATTATAGTCCTATCCGAGTCTATGACTAAAGAGGACTTCTAGATTCTACATGAAAGTAAAAATATGTAATAAATTCAACCATGATAACTTTCAATATTTTCTTGTAGACAGTGAGGAAGCCTGCGAATATCACTTCTCACCGCCCGACTCAAGTGCAACGCGTGAACTTCCGCGGAAACTGTACTTGTGCATGACAAAACTGAAGTCGAACTCATATATCTAAAATTAGAAGAATCTTCTGGATACTGGTCTAGACACACGACACTTCCTGTTTGCTATCTATTCATACCTTCCGAATATCATTTCTTGACTTTTGTCGAGGCCGAAAGTGAGTCACAAGATATTCCACGTCGTGGATCAGTTTACCGCTCAACTCTATTGAAGTCTTGAAAGACTACGCCAAAGGTTGACATCCCTTCAAATTTCCTCCACGGACTCCAGAATTTTGAACTCCGATCCTTTCACTTTAGAACCATCGTTAGAAGGTGTGATGATTGATTGTTCGTATTCAATTACAAGAGTCTTGGTAAATCATAGTCATATCTGCATCTTCACACAGTGGATGGATGGATTTTTATTCGTTACACGCAGAAGCCTAGCACTCATAGAATATGACATGGAGAAAGCTAGTCCTTCCCCGACGACTAAATACAAAGATAACTCAGTTTGACATTTGGACTCCTCATTTTGTGGATGCATTCGCAGACACCATTTGAAAACTTTGTGCTAAGGTCTCTAGCTCTTCCCTCATCTATGAATTTCAAAGGGAAAACTGGAAAACCAGTAGCTACCATTACATACCTTCATCATCTAGTATTTAGACACCGCGCGTGACATGGCCTCATGGGCCTCCCTTTCTCGACTCAGATAGTTATTCAGGCTACCTAGACTCTAGCTTGGGGATAGACGACTAGGAGGCGGTCCACAACATCTTCCATCGTTGCCTCTTTTTAAAAGTGTCGGTAGCACTGTCCTAAATCCTGGTCTTGGTGCTCACAAATGTCCCAGAGTGAAAAAACTCCTCGAAAAGTATCAGTTCCATTATTTCCGACAATAGTCTCTTCCAATTATCATTACACTTCCCAGCCGCCTGTTCTCCCTTAATACATGAAGCCTCAGTAGAGCAACGGTCCCCCATAGACCAAAACCCGAGCTTTGTACATTATGACTTAATTTCATCCTCGCGGGTATACATAGCATCGTAAATTTGTAGTGGAAGATGGCCGATTTTTAACAAGGCAAAATCCCGATTGCAATTGGAGTAACGCCATTATCGGTATTTGAGACGAGGTGGTGTAGTAAGATTGAGGTGGAGGACTGTTGAATGGGTGTATATTAAATCGACAACTTCTACATGTTAGCCTGACCAACAGAGATATTAGTGAAAGGTCCGAGCAACGCTAATACCACGTGATCTGACCATCTCGCTTCACAACAAGGACTCGCGTTAGAATGATAGGTCAGACATTGACGAGAAGTCGTCGACTTTAGATATGCTTGAGGTTGCTTTAAACTTTGATTCGGATGCGATTCTTCTTGGCAATCCCAGATAAGCAGTGCATACTGAGCGATTACACAGGCACCACTAGAAGGTGAAGAATCCGTCTCCGCGGGCCCTCAGTTGTGAGAGCTAACCTTGTCTACCTAAATGAGCTTAGTAAATCCACGTGATTAGAATGCTAGATAAACATCTAAATATGACAGACATCGTCAGCTTCTCTGCGTAGATTGTGGTCATGTCAGTTTTGAGCCAACGTTTCCTTGTGTAGGCTCCAGAAATTAATTGGTCGGACAAAAATTTCACAATTGTTCCAAACGAGGAAATAATACTCGGTACAAACCTCTTGGATTTATAGTGCATAAATTTACTCTATTGAGAATCCCTACGCCAGGGACTTCACGTTCTGAATTTAGAGCTATTAATTGATTTGGTTAAAGATCAAGAAGATTTTGGTCGTTGGTATGCTAAGCCTCTTTGCCCCATATAATATGACTGATATCAAAAATTATAGATAATTTTGATACGATAGCTCAACAAGTAAATACTACAAGGCCCATGTGAATGGTTTAATATAAGTCAAATCTACAATTTGACAAAATAGCCTCTATAGTCTACACCAAGGAAATCCCGAACATTTTTTACTATTTATATTCATCGTGATTTAAACGACTTAGTCTAAGGAAGCCGAAATCTGTTGTGAGATGACCTCTGCAAATCTACCAGCCATGTTACCTACTTCTTGTCGGGCCTCTCCGACGGCTAGTAGAACCTTTTTAATCCCTAAACCAACATGATCAGTACCCGTTATGTCGCGTAAAGTGTTAAGACTCTCTGTGAGATCACTCTCCTGCGGAAATGCCTGCATTTCGCGTAACACAGAGGAAAGTTCGGCATGAGTGTTCACATTTGGTACAGCGAGTTCGCGATTGAATATTTGCTGAAGATCTAATTGTCGCATTACAGAACGTTGCGAAGTGGTTCCGAGAATCAAAAGACGTCGAGGCTGAAGGAGTTAGAGGAATTAGAAAGTTATAGGGGAAAACATACCGCAGGTGGTTGCTTTGTGAGCAGTACCATGAGCGCTTGAAGAACTGGGTTCAGAAATCTAGGACCGATCGGTACCCACTCTATGATACGTTCTATATTATCTATTACGACAATATTTTGTGGAGATTTATATGCATCGGTAAAGACCTTGTTAAGGTACTGGATTTTAGCCATTTCACCGAATCCAACCATGTTCTCTGCGGTTATAAGCTTAATGAAAGGAAATCCAGACTCTTTTGCAATTCTAGCTGCCAAGGCAGTTTTTCCTGAGCCGGGAGGTCCATGTAGCAGTACTGATAAAACGGATGTCGTGGATGAATTTTTGACGAGGTCAGTAAATAGACGACCATCTTTAAGTATGTTTTCAATATAAGGACTATAATGAAGAATGCCAGCACCCATAGCGCTCTCAAGCTCTTCTTCGGATACGCCAAATGCTGGTTTTACTTCATCGAGGGCTTTCATGAAATCGCCTCGGTTAACTTTCATATTCTCAATATCATCACTAACACCAGCAACAGTGCCAACCTTGACATGGCGATTGAACGCAAATGATGATGCAGACTTTACGAGACCTCCAATTTCCGCGCCAGAAAAGTTTTTTGTTAAATGGGCTAGTTCTTGGACATTAACATCTGTATCCATGACATTGTTATCACGCATTTTTGACGTGTGAATTTTGAGAATTTGCGCTCGACCGTGTTCATCTGGAAGAGATATTTCCATGTGAACTTCTAAGCGACCAGGACGTAGTAAAGCATCATCGATCATATCCTTACGGTTAGTCATCCCAATAAGCAGAATATTGTTGAGCTGATCTACACCGTCAAGCTTTGAGAGTAACTGGTTTACTACACTGTCTCCAACTCCAGTTCCACCACCATTTCCACTACCTCTTTGCTTACAAACGGCGTCTAATTCATCAAAAATTATAATGTGTAAGCCGCTCTCATCACCTTTTTCTTTGTATTCCTTTTCAGCATCGGCGAACATCTTTCGAATGTTTTCCTCGGACTGTCCAACGTACTTATTCAGCACTTCAGGACCATTGATGACCTTGGGCTCCCTAGAATTTAACATTTTACCAATTTGTCTTGCAATAAGAGTTTTTCCTGTTCCAGGTGGCCCATATAACAGAATTCCTTTGACATGCTGTATTCCTAGCTTCTCGATTAGACCAGGTGGGAATATCCGCGATGCAAAAGCTCTTCGAAAAATAGCTCCGAATTCAGTGTCTAGTCCACCAATTCCCATATCCTCAAACTTAAAATCAGGGGCAATTATTGAATTGGCAGCTGGTCTTTTGGAGGACCCTTTTAATTTAATTGGAGATTTTGAATCCTTGTAGAATGTGATGGGAGTTTGTCTCGTTAATATTCCCCTTGAGCTCCACGTTGATACGGTTGGTGCCGATTCAGAGGACTTTTCCATACTAAGATCAACTAGCTGCACAGTTTTTACCATGAATATTAAGGGAATATTCTTGTAGTCCATGAGAAGCCTTTGGCTAGGTGCAAAAATCTGATTTTCGAATTGTTTGATGAAAGCTTCAGCTAGAACGTCTTGATCAAAAGGTGCCTCTGTTAGCTTTTTAGATGATGCAAACCCTACTTCCACATCTAATGATCCCAAGTAGGTGCAGGGTCCAGAAGAAAAGGGACTGTAGGGCTCAGCCATGATAGGATCCATCATCCCCACGTCGCACCACGTTCTTTGAGGATCCGAAAGACTTATACATCCCGAAGGAAAGCCTTGTAAAGGTCGAACAGTGACAACAAACTTCTGGTTAAGAAGAAGGTACATATCAGTTCCATCCGGCGTGGGGGGAAAGTTCTGAGGCGATACGGCACAGCTTCCATAGATCAGCGTAATTATACATTTTCGGTCTGCTTGTACTTACAGATTTCCGAAAATGTATTGATTTTGTAGGGTCTTATCTTCAACCTTTGCAATCCTCAGTTGGGTGCCACGCAGTGGTGACGCTGGAGTTCTTCCGGCTGCTGGTCTCTGAGGCATAACATTTTGTGACGAATCTTCATAGTTACCCCTACTATTAATATTGGAGCCAGCTCCAACTTCGCTGACGCTATTTTGTGATGGGGTTTCTTCTCTTTGAGGTCGGGGTGGAGGTCTTCCGTAACCTGCAGGTTCCTTACCACCCTTAGCGCCCTGGCCAAATAGATTTTGTCGAATGTTGTTCATATTGATATTTATCGTAGCTTATTGTGTGAATTTAGAGGGCATATGAAAATCAAGACCAACGAGGCTTGCTTGTTCTTTGGTGTAGGACTAGACTTGGAAGATTATTTGAGAGACGGGCCCGCAGCCGTTGTGGATGAGTTTGCAGTGAAAGCAGAAAGAATACCCCAATAGTTGTGGATAAAAATGAATAATTTCAAAAGGGAAAGGAGGGTGATGGTTGTATGCTGAACGTAAACAGATCTGTTGTTTCAAAATGCCATGCATAATAGCTCTTATCATAAGCTTAGACCCCGTCGTGCCCCACTTTACAGGTTAGGCAGGCGTCAAGTTTTATCGTGGAACGATCTTCTCAACATCCATCATGCCTCTGTGAGTACAATCTCGCGGAAAACTATATACATTTGACGCATTTACGTCCAAACCCTTCATTATTCAGATAAGAAAAATAGAACTAACATTTTTAGTCATCTGCTAGGCAAAAAGTCATGGAATGTCTACAATAAAGCCAATATCGAAACTGTTCGGCGCGATGAGGCAGCTGCGAAAGCCGCAGAGGAGGCGGAAGAAGAGCGTATGCAAGCTCTTGATGCCGAGCGAAATATGCAGATCTTGCGTGGCGAAACACCTACTCCACTTCCTGAACCAGTTTCATCCTCCACAGAAAAAAAGTATGGTCGAGATAGGTCTGAACAGCGCCCGCATGGAAGAAAACTTCGTAAGAAAGCAGGTGAAAATGATACAGACTTTGAGATTAGATTGGCGCGAGAACATGTTTCTGGCGAAGATGCACAGCTTGTCCAACGCCGTTCCCGCACTTCAGGAGCTGAAGTCCAATCAAATGACTCAAAAGTATCAGAAGATTTAGTGTCGAAAGGTCATTCGACGCATGTCAGGGCTGGAAAGAATCCAGAGGCAGAGAGAGAGGCAGCAAGGAAGAAAAGAGAGTATGAGGATCAATACACAATGCGATTTTCAAACGCAGCAGGACTTAAGATTGATCCAAACCAAGCTCCATGGTACTCAAGAAGTGGGGATATTGAAAAGCATTCTGACCAAGCGAAATCAATGGATTTATGGGGAAATGAAGATCCAAGAAGGAAGGCTAGAGAGCTTCAGCGGACTATAAAGGATGATCCTTTAGCATTGATGAAGGCTGGTGCTCGACAAGTACGAGAACTTCAGAGGGATAAACGATTGAGAATGAAAATTGATAGAAATATCAGGGAACACAAGGAAACTAGACACCCGAGACCGGGCGATGAGCGAATGCGGAGGGCAATTTCTCCAAGGAGCGACAAACATAGGAGGTCAGGATCGAAAGATGTGGCAAAAGAACATGAGAAGATAGACGGAGTCCATGATAAATTAAACAGGCATGGAAATATAGAATCACGACAACGCCACAGGCATTCGGAGCGTTAGTAACTAAATGCTTTCATCGTAGTACATAGACTAAAAATACTAGATTATTTCTTTATACTTCAAACAAAAAGAATCTGATGTAGATAAAATATTCTAGGTAGATAGCAGTCTTTTGAAGAAGGTAGACCACCTCTTCAAAGCAGTTTGAGTGTTTTTATTACAATTTATCGTCCTGCGAGCATGCAATCCATGGATCCTGAGATTATAGCCGCTATTTTGACGCGGTGCAAAACAAATTCCCTTTTCGTAATGCATATCGTGTTACTTGAGTCTACGACTATCTAGCACTTAGGGCTCATCTCTGGCCTAGGCCGCACCTTGTACAGTGCTCCTGTCCTCTTTTTTTACTTGAAAGATCATTGATATATTGCGCCCTTGATGAATAGCCATTCAGCTCAGTGTTTACCCGTGGAATTCAGCCACTTTTCCCACGAAACCTTCTACCCAAAAAAGTTAGAATGGTAGCAATGGAAACTGCGTGCACGGGAAAAAGTCTCAAAAACCTGCAGTCCCAGCCAGGCGAGGCATAAACACCGGGACCAGATGAGGTGCGCATATTCATCTATATCTCCCTTCTTTGTAACAGTTGAGGCCGACTTGATCCAATCCACCGTCTCCGTGTCGGTTGCTGGGTACGCTCCGGATACTCATGGGGTGGCTTCTCCTCCGTGACCAAGTGTGGGTGATGAGTAGGGCTTCGACCCTACCATTTAATCTGATCGTAGTTGGCTTCATGATAATAGTGATAGAATGTTGCGCTGAGAGATGAAGACGATATAGACGGCGAAAGGGGGACGGACTCCTCATGGAAGTGAGGACGAATGTGTTTCGCAAACTGGGCTCCGTAGACTCTACAGTGAGGGCTGGAGATTCGTAAGGGACACATCTACCAGGTGCTGAGGTTTTGTTCCGCCAAAGTACGGAGGAATGTCTCCAGGCGAAATACAATGCACGATCCCAAGCAGCCGCGACAGCCTGCCGTGAATGTGTTGAAAATGGACGCAGTGTGTCATGGATGAAGGGAGCCTCCATTTCGTCTCGATACCCGACATGATCTCGGGTGTAAGTTAGAGGATGGAATGAGCGGTAGGGTAACGCTTCAGGCTACCGACTGGAGACATGAGCGGCTGTATGGCGTGGACATAAGGAGGTTATTGGAGGGTTTCTAGGTCTAGATGGCGCCTCAATCGTTTGGGCTGTGGCTTAGTCTCTGTGTCGCTTACATCTGTACTTGCAACGCACGTCTCCCACTCATGAAGTCAACTTTTTTCGCTCTGGGAATACTGCGCCTATTTCATTGCGCGAGACTTCCAACAGAGTATCACCTAGCCGCACATATTCACGCCGGTGGCTACCTTCGACCGGGACGCTGGGCTGGCGACGCCAATAGATTCTCAGCGCATTCGAGAAAGATCAATGAGGCGTCGATCCAATGTCTCTCTCTCACGGATACCGCTCGAGCGTCTTTTTCATCTTACCGCTGCGCCCGGTCATCGTCGGCTGCCTCGAAAATGCAGGGACCGGCCCAGTCGTGGAGTCTTTTGTGGGGACGGAAGGGCCAAGGCAGACCACCGCGCAACAGTCATCGCTACGATCCGAGAACGAGGGCTCACCTTGTCCGCCAGTGTACGGCTAATCCTGGGTTGACTAGGCTGCCTGACAGTACACGCCGCCTTTCTAGTTTTCCCCAGAGCTGAGAAGGCCATCTAGGATCAGTGGCGTGGCGCGAATCAGGAAAGAAGGCGAGAATGTGTTTCTAGGGCGTGCTCAAGTCTGGTCCTACCTATTGGTACAATACGGTATACGCGCGTAAACGAAATTCAGTAGAATATATTCAATATTACGATACAATAATAATTACATATAATTCATTCTTTCCTATGTATTCTAACACTCTTAGTGCCATGTAAGAATGCCAAGATTGTGCTTAGGCACAATAATTGCTGCGCGGCTAGGCATTTCCAGGTGTCACTCACTTGTAGCAACACTCCAACCTCCTGGCTAGCAGTGCCGTATCGTTCGGCTTCATCTATCCCTCCCCATGTAGCCCTATTGTAAGAATTCACAATATCAAGCTTAGGCGGATGCCTAGGTGCAAACAACGGTTAAGCCGTAACACCTTCAGACATCCGAGTAAATATCTCAATGCGAAACAACCCTCAACAATGCACCACGACTCATCAGACGACGAAATTTGACCAAAGCTACACCATCCAAGCAATGCCATGTTTGACAAACGATCAATAGAAGCATAGGCTCACTGCTAGTCTACAAGCATGAGAGACTCTAGATTCTACTTTAGGGGTAGGCAGGAGTTAGAGTGTTCATTCGCTAAATCTGCCACTACGACCCTTCACTCGGCGATAGAGCCTTGTCCGGCCAAGAACGCTCACATGGAATCAAGAGACACAGTCGTTCAGGTTCGCTAATACCCATTTCCACTGAGACGGAGATCAAATCAGCGCGGGCAGAGGTAAGGAAGGAAAAAGCGGGACGTACGCCTAACTTATGGAATATTCTAGAATTAAGGGATTATTACATTACAAGTATATGTCAAATTACATGCCCATAGTCGAGCTACTGACGCCGATCCCAAGGCCATTCCCCCGCTTCCAAGCCAACGCAAACCAAGTAGTCGTTGCTCGTGAGCTTATCATTTAATTTAGAAAGCATGATGGGCTTGACGGCCTCGCGTGCCATAGAGCGCAGCTCCTCTAAGCGGCGCTCGAAGTACTTGAGATTATCGTGAGTGTAGAGAGAATCACTCGTAAGCTTGAGAAAGCTCTTACATTCGTTATGTCTCAGATAACTCGGGGAGGAAGGATTGGAACGGCCGATTTTCAAAAGGACTTTGGGAGAAATACTACTAGGTACTGAGGCAGATAATTTAAAGTGAGTAGTTGAGTAGATGGAAGGCGAAGAGAGGGCATCGTGATAGATAGATTGTTCATTGAATTCCTGTGCGAGCGCAGGTATTTCATCATCCTCCGCCAGCGAAGTGATTCGGGTATCCCTTCTTCGGCTTGTTATGTCTGATGGATTATTCCTATCTCTCAAACGCAAAGCTGGCGCAGTACCGGTCATGGGAGACGCTTGCGTGACGCATTCAACAAGCCATTCGCGGAAGAAGCTAACTACAAGCCAATCTAAATATGAGTTGTATGGTGTGACCCGAGCTCCACTTGATGTTCGCAGCGTTAGTCTCCACAAGGCAGTCTCCACACTTGTCACTAATTCCTGTAGTTGGCGGGCCTTATCCTGTATTAAGCTGACTATGCTCGTAGGAAGTCTTTCAAGGATAAATCCCTCGCCGTTCGGCCACTGTCCGATAATATGTACCAGAGCTTCTTGAAATATATGTTTGGATTGTGCGAGAAAGCCAAGTCGAAGGTAAGATGTAGGATATTTGGCAATTTGCTTCCATAAAGTTGACTGGAAACGAAGGAGGTGATGATCAATGCGTGGACCAATTACCGATAGTGCATCGTATATTTCAGCAAGACTAAGAAGCGCCTTGCTTTCATGATAGGCGCGCGAGAGAGAAGTAGGATGGAGTGAAGGCGGCTGGTTGTAAAATGTCCGGAAAAGATTTTCGTAGGCCTGAAGAAAATCGGTAGCTTCCTTGCTAAGACGAGATAGAGGAGATGAATGGGAAAAAGTAGAGGTAGAGTGGATGTATGAGTGACAAGGATCATTGGGTATTGGTTTGTTGTAAACTGGGGGTGGAGAGTCCTCAGTAGTGCCCAAGAGAACACCCAGCTCATAAATGTCTTTTCTGACAAGGACGGGGATATCTTGACAATGATCTCCCATTTCTAACTCATATCTCCATATTTTTCGCTCGGGCTCTTGACTACTTCCATCGCTATTTTTCAATATATGGGTCTTTTTACAAGTTCCCTGTCTAGTAATATTTTCGGTAGATTGTTTTGTCCAGTTCTCGGTTGTACTTGCTTCGAAAAATCCCGAACATTGTGCTAGGATGAATCTATGCAAAAGATAGCGACTGGTATGTCCACCAGCCCGTATAATAATCTCTACATCACCCGTGAGATTATAGATAGGGAATTTGTTTTCGGCAACAGAGGTCGAGGTGTCGATGTGAAGACGATTTTGTTGACCGTAACTCATAGAACGTGATATGGCTGAGAATGTGTCAAGTTTGGAGACCATGACCGACAACTTAGTTCAGCCAACAATAAATTTGAGCAGCTCTAGTACAAGAAGTCCTTTAATGTTCTCCAAGGCCTACTTCATCCAGTGCAAACTCTTCAACGTTCATGTCACCCCGGTCTTTGACTCCAATGGGTGAAGCAGTGCTATTTAATGAGTTTTGCGCTCTTTTATACCTTGAAAACCAGAGTTGAAGCTGTTTATGAGATTTTGGAGATAAAAATCACGATAAATTAGATTTATGCTAAAGGCCGGTTCGATTTATGGCTGGTAAATTCTTGGCGAGAAATTTCTATAGGAAGTTGTATCAGTAACTTCATTTGTAGGAGACCACTAGGTTCGATTCCGTCTGGATGCCAGCCTAATTGATTGCACCAGGGTATCTGCGTTCAATTTCGATTATTCTTTAAAGCAAGTCAAGGTCGGTTGTGCCCGATCTTGATTTTTCCAATTTGGATGCTTCAAATTGAACTTTATCTTACCCGTAGGTGACGTCAATAATTTATAGTTCTGAATGTCTTGATGCGGCCAAAAGAATTGATTAACGGCTCCCTTTCTCTGCTTGTCTTTGGAGTGAATGTCTTTCTTTCTCTCGTTGCGCAGTTGTAAGATAATAAGCAGCGTTTATCTGCTACAATATTTACGTGTTGATAGTATCTTTGTATAGTATCTCTATCATCAAATGTGCCGGCACGGTTCATGTGCCCTGAGTCTACGGGTTCTGGAGACCTGTTATAGGTAGTCATCACTAGATCGATGGCAAATTGGAGCTCTAGCAATGAGAAGGGAATCAGTGGTAAAAGTAACTTGATCAGATACTTTGAATGATTTGGTGAAAGTGTAGGCTACCTGAGCACAATGGAGGGATCATTGGCCACCGTATAACAAGGCATCCGTAACGAGACAGGGAGAAGGCGCCTCGCCACAGACGACAAAGGTTTGCAGCCGTTTATTCAAGAGAAATCCTTGAGTATAGCGCAAATCGAGGGAGATCGAGAGAAGGCGCATCTCGTCAGCCTACCGGGTGGTGTATTGTTCCAGTTGGAGCAGACGATCGTGTGAAATCGACCTGCCATTGTCATCTGCTCATCGACTCAGGCAGTTGAAGCTAGACTTTACGAAAATAAAATTGACTAACCGGTTTAGGCAAAAGCGGGAGTGAAGAAGCCTGATAACATTTGGAGCGACTTGGCAGACCTGAGCCGTCGTGGCAATGGTAAAGTAGAATGATAAAGGGATCACCTTTAGTGCCTCTACACGGCCAGCGGCCAGCGGATAGGGAGATGTGAGCTCCATAGCCCATTCGAGCTATCCTCCCCAGACATAATATGGAGACATCAGCTATCGGTTCCTTTGGATTTAGTTTGAGCTCGTCTAAAGAATCACTGTGTGGAGGTTGAGTTTCCCAGTCACTCATGACCAATCCTGGTCTGCACAGAGACTTCATCGGCCTTTCTACCAGTCGACGAATCATTTGCTCAAAGAGTGACTGGCCGTGCGGTTTTTGTTCTTGCAAGATCAGGGAAGGCGTTGGTGAACACGAAATGTGCGATAGGGTGAGAAGCATTGCTCTGAGCACACGTGGTTTCATGAATCTTCCTTTGGCTGTCGGTGCGATTCGGACAATAACGTTTCAGCCATAACTTGGTCCAGAGTGGAGGTGGCAAAGCCCGTCAAATTGTGTTAACGTTGTTTGCTCATATCGTTGGCCGAGGCTATCGCCATTCGATCAAGGGACAGAATCTATTCAGCCCATATCTCTCCCCAGAAAAGAAGACTTGCATTCTTCCAAGTGGAATTGCAATTGCAAGCTGTGAGGCTACCGTCTTCAGCGCGAATACGACTTCTAAATCCTGACCATCGTATTTCAAGATGGAACCATATGGCAGCCAACACAAACGCATATTCCTCCTGGATTACTTCACCCTGGTTATCATCCTATAAGATAAGTCTACTACATCTCGCACACTTATCTCCAATAGTCACCCGCTAGACCTGATCCAAAGTAGGCTCTTCCGCACCTTTTCAACGAAAGTTGTTATCAGTCCCATCAACTACCACTGTCACACTTTCCGACGCCCCAAGTAGATGGATAAAAAGCTTTTGAAAACTACATCATTCTCCTCATGGATCCTGAAGTTTTGTGCGGCTCTAGCCTACTAAATTAAGCGGAAGCATAAACCACAATTTTACCAGCCATTTGGTGTTGCTCAGTTGTCTAGCCATGGCTCAAGATCTATGCCTTTACGCTTTAGAAGACTCTTTTGATTCGAGAAAGACTCACACCCTGTATTTGGCTTGCAACCAGCATCAAACAATGTGTTTTGATAACACGGCCAGTAATTGATGGAGAATATTCAGCAAAGAGGAGCTTCAATACTTTTACAAAATCCCGGTACATCCGCATCATCTCCCATAGGATTGACATGAGAAACATATCACCATCCTACCAGCCCGAACAAACTGTCTTCCATCCCGACCAGGACAGATACCCCGCTTACACCATCAAACATCTATTAATAGTAATCAGGAATTTCCCCGCCAAAGCTCTGACTTTGACAAGCGTGATACCAACCCAAATTTAAGTATGTCTTGACAACCAGACTGTAGCAGTTAAATTTGGAGGGTCGTAGAATACATGTTTCATACCAATTTCATCACCTCATAAATCTAAAAATCGCTACGCAGAAGGGGAGCGAACGGCCAAAACAGGTGACTGCGGCGGCTGCGCTCACACAAGCATGATTCTCTTTCGCCTGCGAGGTAGACTTGAGTTTGGCAGTCCACCGATACCAAAATAGCAATTTGTCACGCCATATCACGTCCAAGCGCTCCGCAGCGACCGGGGTAAATAGTCCTTGGCCTTCTGCCTAGACTACTGAGGCATGAAATTATAGTATTCGAGGCGGCAAGAAGGCCGTCAAATTCAATCTGCTTCCGAAAGGGTAACACGGCTGCCTCACTTGTAAGTCATGACCCGCATTCGAGGCAAACGATAAAGTACAGTGTATATCGGAACAATCTGGCTCTACATGATACTCTTCACCATGACATGCTGCAGCGATGTTATCTGTCCGAATATATCTCAAATTCTAGTAAATTTATCAATTCAAAATTCTAGCGCAGATGAGGATACTTATATCTGCCACATTTATGGTACCGTTTTATGAGCGCTATATGATTCAGAGTTTTTAGTAGACGCTTACTCTGCTTTTCGGGATGCAATTGACAGTATTTGCGCCTCGTTCTGCAAGCATCGTCATTTCTCAGTCTACGACTAGGGGGACTATCCTCAACACCTGTCAGTGGTGTCCTCTACGAACCTCCAGTTCCCACTGTAGAGTCTGCAGAGCCGAGATTGAGTAACAAAGTCCTCACTTTGACGAGTATTCCTAATCGCTTTCGCTGTCTGTATCATCTTCATCTCTCAACACATCCCCCTATCACCATTATCATAAAGTTAACCACGATCAGATCAGATGGTAGGGTCGAAGCCCTTCTCATCACTAACCTTTGATCATGGAGGAAAAGCCATCCGATGAGTTTCCGGAGCGTACCTGTTACGGTTTGGCCGTTGTCTGAGCTTATGTGGATACCTAAGCGTATTGTTGAAGATTCATGTTGTAAGACTGTAAGGAAATGATAGAGGAAACTGGAAGATACGGCACTACCAGCCAAGGGGCCAGATCAGTGTCACAGCGTAGTGATTCTTGATAATATGTGGCTGGGTGGCAAGTATTCGGCCTAGGGTGAAGAAATCAGTCAAGACAATCACTGAGAGGCTGAATATTATAAATACCCGTTAGTTGTAGCTAGATTTCTCTTTCTTCTTTATACAGTTTATTAAATCGACATTATCATCACCAACTCGGGGTTCCCGTCACAGTACCCAGCACCCGGTACGGAGATGGTGGATTTGATCAAGTCGGCCTCGACTGTTACAAAACAGAGAGATATAGATGAGTATGCGCACCTCATGTGGTTCCGGTGTCTAGGCCTCACCTGGCTGGTGCTGCAGGTTTTTTTGAGACTTTTTCCCGCGCACGCAGTTTCCATTGCTAACTTTTTTTTTTTTGGGTAGAAAGTTCCGTGGAAAAGGTGGCCGAATTCCACAGGTAAACACTGAGCTGAATGGCTATTCATCACGGGCAATATATCAATGATCTTACAAGTAACAAAAGAGGATAGGAGCACTGTACAAGGTGTGGCCTGGGTCAGAGAGGAGCCCAATGTGCTAGATACTCATAGACTCAAGCAGTTCAATAAAAACACACAAACAACACAAAGTGTGTCCTGACTATCTCCTTACGTTATCACTATCGAAAGAACTTGTTCTGTGTGATAGGCCCAGCCTTTCGTCATGTCTGAATTATACACAAGGTTGGACACGCAGGTCAGCCCAGACAGCCAGTAGCAGGTAAAGCCATAACATCCTGGCCATTTGACCGGTGTCGTACCCTTTGGCCACGGCTTCAAATTTGTGCTATGGTGCTACGGTGTCAAGTTTGCAGTGGGCTTCGACAGAGTATTTAGCGTGCAAATTAAGACTCCTTAGGCATGGCCACCTTCCATATTGGGGTTAGCCTCCATATTTGTGGAATTGTTGAAAACATTTGTACGGCAATTGTTTTTAGCACACCATAGTTTGCAGTGGATCTTTCCCTCTTACTAAACCTAATTGGTATAATGATCGGCTGCATAACATTTGTGCATTTATGCTACTTGACTTCATAACCTATTTACAATAGTTCAAAGGTTTTTGAATTACAAAATAGAGCCAGTCTTATCCTAACCTTAGATCTGAACATATAGCTGGAATATTTTCAGGCCTTAACATCTGATCGGTCCCCCATCCGCATCTATCACAGCCTGACATCTTGCCGGCATACTCTGAATGAGTCTCACATGATCTTCGGAAGACACGGAATCCTAAGCTTCCTTTACGATCTTGCGAAGACTATCTTGAGTTCGCTGCTTTCCGCAACCCAGATTCGGATGAT